CAATATATTGATGAGAACATGTTGAAAAAAAGAGTTTAACATTAACATTTCCACTGCATATTAGATAATGGAATAAAAGAAATTTACAGCTATCAGAAAAAATTTTCTTCTTAGGTAATTCAAAGAGTCCAGTGATCATCGGAAAAATACCACTTTTTCTTTACATATAGAACAGAAATAAATTTTAAGTTGGTCCCTATCCAGATGACGGAGCTCAAGCAGCAAATGTTTACTCTGCATACACATACTGTTTTATAAACTAAAAGCTCTTTATAGATTTATCATTTTCTCAAATATTTTAAAGACAACAGTAAGACATTCTCTTTTAGAGTCAGAAATTACATTTATCAATTTGTCTGTAAGTCACCAGGTGACTCAGAAGCAGAAATGGTCAGAGGCTTTCATGCCAAAGTCCTACTATCCCAGGCACGCTGTCCAAAAAAGGCTACAAAGAAATTCTTTAATTCTTCAACTGTGCTTTATAGTTTTCAAGGAGAGAATTCCGTTTCTTTTATATACAAATGACCTTCTGCAGAGCACAGTCAGTTCTTATGGGAATGCAAAATTTCAGGACTATTATTTAGATATTAGGAACCTGAATTCATCAGAACATATAACACCCAAAAATTGTTTAAATCTAATTTATGAGAAAACACACAGCTTTTATGAGAGAAACCGGTAACGTTATCCTAGAAATATTAGTAAGAAATTACTCACTAACAAAAAAAGGATTTTCATCAACTGTGCAGCTTTTTATCTACCTAACTTCTATACACATGTCCTTGAGAACGGATTTTATTTATTATTTATTGCTACCCTCTGACAGCGGAGTGCTAAATTAAAATGCCACCCAGATGGCAAACACATCCTAATGACGTAAGGCCTGCCAAAGTGCAACTTCTCTCAAAGAAAGCAAGCAGCACGGCCCTCTGGGAAAGCATCTCTACCTGTTCAACCGAGACTTTGAAAATGAGAGCACTTGGGGGTTAGACCTGGGAACCTGGCAACCAAAGGGCCCAGACACATCCTCAGTGCACAAAGCCCTTGCCTGTTCATTCCATGCTACCTTTTGTTTAGGGCACCTCCATGTTCTGAGATTCACAAACAGCTTAGCTACCAAATCTATGCAAAAGATCTCAGGTCAAGGCAAGCTCTAAGGAGCCATCTCTCTCTTTTATCGTAAGTCCTCATAGGATACATAGTTTCCAGGAGAGAGCAGGGACTGTTATTAGATTGCTGTTCTTGTCTATAAGAAACTCCCTGAATTAAACGATTCTCCTTTAAAAAGAGCTAGTTTGCATCAATACGGTATACAGTTTAAATTAAAAAAAAAAAAAAACAATTAGGAAAATGAAGTTGTAGTACCTTTTTGAACCCCAGACTATGAATGAATACTGTAGAAAGGATCTCATTGTTAAATAAACAGTAGTGACAAAATTAAATCAAGGAAGAAAACCAGTTGGTTTTTGTAACTGTGTTGATCTCAAATATTTCTTAAAATAAAAAAAAAAAAAACACGCTTTGTAGAAATGTTAAGTTCTCAGAATGAACTGTTCTCATGAAACAAATGCAAAGATATCCTAAGAAGGAAAGAAGGCATTTAAGAGAGAGGTCATTTATTTCATTTATTACAAAGTTGTAAAATTCCTTTTTTCTGCAAATATGTGCTGCCGATGGAGAATGGGAAGAATTCCCAAGGATGGAAGAGAACCAGAAGTTCAAATGAGCATATGCTGAATTATGGAAACAACCGAACAGGTTAGAGTGCTAACGACTGTTAATGCCATTGTTTTCTATTACCTCTGGCTGCTGGGATCCCGGGTTAGTGTCCCACCCCCATGACAAGAGCATGGTACTCTGGTTTAAATTTTCTAATTTTGTTATTAAAAAAAAATTTTATCCTGTATGTTTATTTTTGAGAGAGAGAGAGAGAGAGAGAGAGAGAGAACACAAGCAGGGGAGGGACAGAAAGAGAGGGAGACACAGAATCTGAAGCAGGCTCCAGGTGCTCAGGACAGAGCCCACCGCGGGGCTCGAACCCACAGACTGTGAGATTATGACCTGAAGTCGGACACTTAACCGACTGAGCCACTCAGGCGCCCCTAGAAAATTTTAAGTTATATCTACAGCTTTCATCATAATTCTATGAACCAGAATTATGCTCCAGACATCCTTTCAAAGGCCCATCCAGTTTACCTGAGTACAAACTGAACTACACGGGCTCGTCAAGAAAAGGGAGGGAGAAAGACCTAGGAAAATAAGATGACAGTTTAAAAGAGAGATAGTGTGTTCTAATCTGCTTCCTGGTGGTCTCTGGCTGTATGATAGTGATCTCTCTGTTTCAGTTTCCTAAAAAAGCAGTAATAGAAATATTTTTGTACAGGATGAATGGACACATGTGAAGTGCTAAAAACAGTTGCTAGTAAGGAGTGTTTGCTCTAATTATTTTTTTTAAAATGTTTTATTTATTTCTAGGAGAGAGAGAGAGAGAGAGACAGCGTGAGCAGGGGAGGGTCAGAGACAGAGGGAGTCACAGACTGAAACAGGCTCCAGGTTCTGAGCTGGCAGTCAGCACAGAGCCCGACGCGGGGCTCGAACCCACGAACCGCGAGATCATGACCTAAGCGAAAGTCGGACGCTTAACCGACTAAGCCACCCAGGCGCCCCTGTTTGCTCTAATTATTAAATAAATATCTATTCTGGGAAAAAGTGACCCCGTGGCTCTTGCGCCGTGCCTGCGGTGGCGATGCCAGTCTCGGAACCGAGCAGCCCCAGAGGCAGGGCAGCCGGCGGAAAGAACACGAACAGGGCTCCGTAGCTGAGACACGCGGGTGCAAATCTCATGTGCGCTGACTTGAATGACAACACCATGACCTTGTGCAAGTTACGGACTTTTTCAATAGTCTCAGTTACCTCTCCCATGAAATATCTGTTTTGTAGAGTTGTTTTAGGAACTAATGAAGCAGAGGAAATTAAAACAACAACAATAACAACAACAACAACAACAAACCTCTGGGGGAACAGGGAGTCAACAGATGACAAAATCAGGAACAACCTTGGGCGGAATTCAACTCTGCTCTAGATGGTAGACACTAACTGAGGAAACGGATTATAATGCCCCAGAGAATACTGCTTGGAAGTCTTATCATGTGAACTCTTACACATGTAACTGACAGTCTCATTTTTAGTCACTTACACCTCTAAGAACATTAGGTAACCCTCTTAACTTGCTACCATATGCAACCAAAGAAATATACCTACATTTTTATAAAAAACCTCTATTATTTCACAACATTCTTCAACTGAGATTAACGTTACCCTCATTTCACTTCAGTCATCTAAACTGATTTTTTTTTCTCTTTTCCATCTGGGCATGTCTATTTTCTTTTTCAAAAACTTTTTTAAAAAGGTTTTTTATTTTTAAGTAATCTCTACACCCAAAGTAGGACTCGAACTCATAACCCTGAAATCAAGAGTCACATGCTCCATCGACTGAGCCAGCCAGGCGCCCCTCTTAACATTTAATTTTAAGGAAAATATTTTTCCTAGTGTCATCAGACTCTAGAGTTGAACAGTAGTGCGGATGCCAAAAATGTGTGAACGGAAGGCTTCTGTCTGGAAGTGAGGTACATGAGGAGACAGCAACTTTCCTGTTCTCTCCTCTCCTTAATGGGAACGTGTGCAACTCTACACGGTTCCTCCACCCCATCCTTCATGAAGGTTTGCCGTGACCCCTTCTTATTTCACAGGGGAAGGAGCATAGCCTCGGCAGGCTGGGGACCAGGACACCTGATGCAAGTCCTGGCCGGCTGACTGACTGACTCTGTGTCAGTGGGAAAGCCCCTAACAACCCCGGACTTCCTGTGTGTCAACTATATAAAAACCTATTTTCACTACAGGAACAGTGTAGTGGGCAAAGTGCCCTAAGAGTGTTTGAAAAAAGTTTGTTAAAGAGAATAGGGCTGTTGCTGTTACAATGGGCTGTCTTAAGAGGCGATGGTAGCCTCTAAAGTGCACTTTAGTGATCGTTGTGGGCGTGTTCTTTCCCCCTTTCCTGGCTCAGAGTGTTTTGTTCCTCACACTTTCTGGGGTCAAATGCTAAAAGAGAATGGAAAGAGGTAGGAAAACAGAAATAGAGCCCTTTAGTTGAAGATTTCAGTTAAAACCAACTTGTTTAACCAAACGAAACTTGTCTATACCACTGAATGTGGGATTTAAATGAGATGGGGAAACCCGGACTAGAAAGGTTCATCACTGGGCTCTTGCCCCATGGAAGTAACTAGCTAAGCTCTCCTCTCTCCCCAAAGCCAAGAGTCTGCTTGCTGCCAGTGGCTCAGGGCTGGGCGCTAGGATGCAACAGTGAACATGCTCTGTAAAGACCCTGCCTGCAAGGGGCTAAAGAAGAGACAGACAAGATAAACAGATAACAGCACATAATTAAATTAACTACAACTGTGATAAGTGGCCTAAGAAAAAAGTAACAAAACCTTTAAGAATTCAGAGATCCAGAGAAGAACACTTTCCTAGCAATTTCCTGAGACTAGGATTTCATAACCCCTGCTCATTCCTCTGATTAGCAACTTTCAAAGTTAAGAGCTTCTTACTTCTTATTTAATAGCATTTATGCTTTTCACTGTGTTATTTTTCAGGAGTGATAAAGGAGAGGAGGGCCTCTTCTCTAGCTGTAAGAGCCCTCCAAATACTGGCTACAGTTTCCAAATAAGATTACCGTCCATGCTTAAAACATAATGTAGAATATTAATACAGCCTCAGGTTTTTGCTTTGAGTGCGTATAAAAAATGCTGAACGTTAACAGGGATAAATGGCCTGTATTTTACCTACAGAGCATTAACAATAGTTTTCCCCAAATGAAAGTATTTTCAGTATCTTAATCAAAGGCACTTCTAGGAGGCCTGAAAAGCAGACAGCTACGCATTGATATCAAACATCATGGCACCACAATAGAAATAACGGCACGTGCATGCACGAACATTCATTACCTGCTTCCTTTTCTGCTGGGCCTAAAACATAAGAAAAGACAATTTAGGAAAAAAGCAGGCTCCACCCATGTTGCTCACATAATGCAGAAAGTCAATTAAGCAAAGAAAAGTGGCCCACTTCCTATTTCTAACTTAAATTTGATTTTGTTTTTGGTCTGGTCCTGAGCATAAAGCAAAGAGCGCTTTATTTTTTAACATCTACAAAAGGGGTGGGAAGGAAGGGAGAAAATGTAACGCATAGAAATGTTCTCATAAGCATGCATTTTGTTTTTCTGAAAATGGAGACTGCTCAGTAGTCCCACCCACTAGATTTCTAGGATCCATTTTCTAGAATATTCTCACAATAGACTACAAGTAAGAGACAGAGGACTCGAGAAAGGAAGGGGGTGTGAGTGCTCCCTGCTCCCTGTTCATTTGGTCCTAGAATAGGATTTTCTCTAACACAGACTCGTTTTTATGTGTGATCCAGAGGAACAGCTATGTCTTTTGACCACCAAACGTGTTAACACGTTTGTCTAGCTAATTAATAAAAGCTCTCCATGGCTGTGACAAATAATTTTATTTGCCCATGTTAAAATGGACTCTGGGACTAGAAAAGAGAAACATCCCATCTTTTCAGTATTGCTGGACAATGAAAGATACTAACTAGAATGGACAGTTAAGAACAAAAGGGTTCTCATAGGTTTTTTTTGGATCGAGTTTAAACATCTGGATAAAACAATACTGTGTTTATTCAGTTGTGCACAAACTTTTTTCCCTTTACTAGATTTGAAAGGTTTTAATGGGTCTATTTTCATATCAACTTTTTCTACCCGTGTTCACAACACAAAATATTCCAAAACACGAAGATTGTTTGAGTATTCACAATGTGAAAACCAATCTGTTTATCTTCCACTTTCTCCAAATGATCTAATATTCATTGCTTTTGCTTTAACACAACATGATATCATAATTAATGATGTTAAACTGGTAACTAAGGAGGTTTCATGTTGTTACTCTCGTGATATAATATCGGTTGCTATAGTGATAGGATGGCTTTTTTGTTAATCACTCAGGAGGTTGGTTATTGCATGCTTGTTAGAAAGCTTGATCAGATTTGGAGAGAGAAAAAGGATATAACACTGCCAATTATAGTCAATCTTTTTCATCATACTACTTTTGATAAAACTATCTTCATATCAATAATTAAGAAATTTATAATTCAGTACAATGTTATATTAAAAGTTACTAAAATTTTTCTAATAGAGGGTTTGCCTTTATTTTTAGATGTAAGTGTTTAACTCTGCAAACTTTTTTCCTAAGTGAATGCTACATGTATGACACAAGCCAGTTTTATGGGTAATTAGAGCAAAAAATTTGAGGTCCTTTCTATTATTTCTAGTCATATCAGAGGATTGTCAAATAAAGCAGATTTTTGTGTCTTTGCCACACATTTCGATCTGGTTATTTCTAAGCGTCTTAAATCTCAGTATTCTTAATGAGTGAAATCTGAAGGAAGAGAAAAAAATGTGCAGCCCCCTCAAGAAATGTAATTGTTCAAATGTGTTAATATATTGCAAGCAATGAGAAGTTGCAGGGAATTCTATCAGTTTATTCTGGCCCTCACCATAATCAACAAGTTTCTTCCTTCTCTGAGCGACACTGTTGAACAGAAAATAAAATTATGTAATACTACACTGCTACTGATCAGGAAAGAAGACACTGCCTCCAGTTGATACGTTAGACATACTTACGGTAATGTCAAAAAATACAACCCATGAAAACACCTTTTGGTTCCCTGAAAACTCAAAATAAGAACAAAGGACAACTTAAGCACGAATCCTGGGTCTTTCATTCAAGCAGAGTCCCAGGAGGCATATTAAAGCAATGAATAGGAAAAAGCTCTTCAGTTCACCAGCTGAGATTTTAATGAGACATTTCCCTTTGCCACGGTACAGGTTTGTTCAGGAAAGGAAAGAACTTCTCACAGAAAATTCAGTTAATAGGCATTGTTGGCTCTCACTGCCACTTCGGCAATTGCTCACTGCACTGACCTTCTATTTTGGCATATTCTGTGAGCCTAGTGTAATTGATCAAGGCAGCTTTCTCCAGACATTTTCTGACCACTTTTTTCACCTCTTCTGCTGGTATGGGAGTGGCGATATCTTTCATTAAGACCTAAAGAGAGGGAAAGAGAGAGAGATTGCATAAAAGAGACTGTAAAATCAAATTACACAAATTGTCCTGTATCTATTACTAGGAAGGTGTCCTAGGTAACACTGGGGGAAAGTAATGAGTCGGCACTTCACAACTGGGAACCTAATCCGCCAATCTTGGCTCCTCCTGTCTAAGCCTCATTTATGCACATCAAAACCTCCCCTAGGCCAAGCCACCATTCAGTGTGAGGACTGTCACTTCCTCCAGGGGCCCACGACACCATTAGAGCAGCTGTTTAGATCAGGATTATAGTCCTTGGGACAAGTATAAAGTTTCTTTTGCACATCCCTAATTTAAAAGCTTTAAATCTTTTGAACAACATGTATGAAAACAGTAACAAAATTCCATTAATAATAAGCACCGTTTTTGAGCTCTATAAAAATCGCGATCTCTAATTCTCACAATTAAACTTTAATTACTGTGATCTACTGAGGGGGAGGAAAATCTTTGTTTTAGTGAAATGAATGGAATTTCTGTTAAAACAAACAGAAACTTTCTGGAATTAAAAAGAACAAATTATTTTCCATTGAGTTCTTAACTATATTTTTGGATTTTTTTCCTTTATAAGTATTACTACCGGCAAGGCAAAAATGCAGTCATATCCAGATTTCAAGATATAACGTATTTAAGTACTTTTCTGATGCCTCACTGATAATTTCCCTTAAAATTTTTTCAGTGATAAAACTGCTTACAGTTTTGATTATACCATTAGTCCAGAACTACTTTTCCACATATTTAATGCAGCTTTTCTGGTTTTGCTTACATTCAAATTATAAAATATATGGCAAAATATGAGTATAAAGAAGAACAGTAAGTATTCTTACTATCCTATTAGTCTTTCGCCTTAAAGAATCATCAAAAGGACATGAAAACATCCATACTTTATGACTTCATTCTCTTTTGATCAGCTTCAGCATGAAGGATTTTATAATTTCAAATTTATTCAACCATTTAAGCACTGGCAATCCTTCACAACGAATTTTAATTTTGTTAGGCAATGTTTCCTTTTCAAAACAACAAACTTTATCACTTAAAAATTTCCTTCCCATCAAATTCAATTATTCTTCATAGTATCATATTAAGATTTTTAACACATTTTACATATATTTGGCACTTTAATTAGAACTGCACATTACAGTCTTTGTAGGCAGGAAAACCCTTCTGCTCATAGTAAAAAAAAAAAAAGCTTTTTAAAATGTACTGTTATTTTTAAAGTGATTATTTGTAAGATTTAAATTTAAAATTGATTTTCTCCCACATGCAGACAATGAACTTTACTATCAAGCCTTCCCACAGTGGTACACTTTTAAATAATAGAGAGAGCTGTTGAAACTAGAATGTACGTGGTCCGTTACAGAGGTGAGTGTGGGGATGAAATCAGGGGATAGTTCATATTATCCAGAAGCTGGATATTTAATTTGGAATGGAGGGAACTGTACCCTCTTTCCTGGCAAAGGACAAAGTCAGGGTTTAAGTGCAAAAGGGGAGACACAGCCCGTCTCCTGTATCTTCTCCATTTTTTTTCCCAGGCAGAATAAGTATGAAGAATTCACATGGAGACTGTATTTTTCTAAGATGTCAATACATACAGAGACGTGAAAATGAAGAGATGGTCTTCCCATTTCTGTCTCAGTTCAGCGAGAGCCACGATTAGTGACTATAACTGGGAAAAAGGTCACTGTTCATCCCACTGCCTGTCAGGGCAGGAGGGCGGCTCTGCTATTACTAACTCTTCCATGCTGGGGTGGGGGCGGGGGGCGGGGGAAGGAGGGAGGCTCTACCGTGGAAACCAGAACAGAGAGAGGCTGTATTAGGTCCCCAGGATGAGATGCCATTCCAAAAATAAAGCTCTCTGTAAAGATTTTATCTTTTCTATGATACCTTAATGAATTGGATGCAATGAATACTTTGAAACGCCTGGGTTACATGCAGCTTTATTACAAAAATTCAAATAAAACAGGTCACTACTATAATAATATTTCTATCACGTGAGGCACAGGGATCAGTGATAAGGTAGGGATATACAGATGAAACCACTGTATGATCCGAAGACCTCGTGACAGTCATCAGTTCTAGCCCTCCTCTTCCAAGTGCTTAAATCAGTGAAAAATGTCACTTTTTGCTTGTAATGGAAATGCTAATAAACAATCTAGAATTCATTTGGCAGAAAAGTGGGCAAGATCGAGTGCCTGAAGTCAATAAGTCAGGACCAGAACATTCAAATCATGAGCTATAAATGATCCTTAGAAATTCTTTTTGATACTGATAAGGAACTGGAATTGTCCACATGACTTAACTGTTAGGACCCACCTAGCATATGCATAGTTTTATAAACAAATGAAAAGAATTCTTCCCTTTCAAATTTAGTCTGCCACAAAACCAGGAGCGGAGAATGTATTTTAGCATAGATATGAAAACTTTGTTTGTTGTTCAGTTAAGGGAAAATGAATTTCCTCAATTCATGTATTCATTTAAAGTAACACAAGTTGAAGAGATTTCTGAGATTGATTTAGAATGAAAAGCATGATATATTGTAAATATTAAATGATAAGCTCTTACAGGTATAACAAATATGACAGAAGTTCAAATAAATTGTGGGGGGGGGTGTAATAAAAGACAACCGTGATGTCTGAAAACCAGATAAGTATACTTAACTAGAAAATCTCATGAGGGAAAGACAGAGGTGGGGGAAAAGGCACAGGACGGCAGGGGAGGGCTTCAGAGAGGTCTCTGCGAGGAAGAAGTAATCAACAGGAGGAGCTGTAGTAAGAGCAGGTGGCAAAGTGATGAAATGTGACCAACGGCCTCAGGGAACACACTTGTTTGGAAAGGCCTTGTCTGCCTGGGTCAGAAACTGAAATATACAGCTACAGAGAGCACAAACAGTGTTTACAAGGTAGTGTTCAAACATACCCTTTCGAGTAATGAAAGTGTAGCTTTCAGGGCACCCTCAGGTCGTCCAAAGGGAAAACAGTATCTTAAAAAACAAAAGGAGGGACAAAAAAGTCAAACATTTAATATCCAAGACTGCCAAATTATTCCCACTTCTATTACTTGGCATTATTAAAGAACAGTGAAAAGTTGGTTAAAATAGCATCAGCGCATCTGGGAAAAATTTTAACAGCAGCAGTTTACCCAGTTCCATGCTTCAAATTTCTTTAAACAGTAAGGGTGTAAGCTGTGATGGAAACGGTCTACAGTTTTGACGATACAGGCTCAGAGAGCAAGGTCCTTTTCGAGAGATAATTAAAATACATTCCCTAAAAATTTCTTGAGGTTTGTTGTTATCAAGCTCTATCATCAACAAAATGACTTCCCCCATCTCCTGCCGTACTTGTGTGGCTTGAGGTGGAAACACCCCACAGACATAACTGCTAGTACAAAATGGGTTCTAGCTCTCCGTCTGTCTGTCTGTGCCGGTGGCTAACTCTACCACCTCCCCACACAACACACATAAACCTGGGGGAGCTCTGCAGTTTGGCAGCAGAGTGGGTCATCTTCAGTGCTTCCAGTGCTGTGTCTTCTTAATGTACCCCCGCAACCGGAGGGCAGGTTCCGCTGGTGCTCTGACACCAGGGTCAGAGGCTGGGCCAGCGAGCGGGCTCCTTGGAAGTTAGTCGACACATGGTGGTAACAGATTTATAGCTCTTCACAAGGGGGTCCCTCTTCAGGTCACTTTCACTTAAAGAGCAGAGAATGTCAGGGCCACTTCATCCCGCTGGAGCCCCTTGCTTTGTTGAATCAGGTTCAGTAACCCAATCACTGCCTCCTCCCCCAAGATCAAGTGCTCCAGGCAGCTGAGCTGTCCATAGACTGCCACTTCACTCCAGACTAGAAAGCTTCAAACTAGGGGCGCCTGGGTGGCTCAGTTGGTTAAGTGCCCGACTTCAGCTCAGGTCATGATCTCACGGTTTGTGGGTTCGAGCCCCACATCGGGATCTGTGCTGACAGCTAGCTCAGAGCCTGGAGCCTGCTTCGGATTCTTTGTCTCCTTCTCTCTCTGACCCTCCTTGCTCGGTTGCCCCCCCACCCCCCAGAAATAAATTAAAAAACAAAAAAAAAAAAGCTTCAAACTAGTAACTTGAAGTTACTTTGTTTATTTCCATGTCTGTCCTCTGCCACTATTCAGGGACTTGGTTAACAGATCTTCTAAGATGTAATTCACAATAAAACTATTTTTTTCACCAGGCAATTTGAACAGGTTTCCCTTAAAGCTCATATATGTTAAATTCAAATTATTTTATAGGAGTGAAGTTTGAAGAGTGATTAAAGAATGATTAAAGGCTGATTTCTCACAAAGCAGTTGTTAAATTTATATCAGGGCTGGGTTTAGTTTTATGAAAGTTTTATTAGTTTCAGAAAATGCAAAAAGTGTCATAAATCCAGTCACTCAAATTTTTCTTCAGAACAGTGTTTATCATTTTGCTTGCTGGTAAAAATTTCCTTCACTTACTCTTGCCTCCGTGCATTCTCTTACTCCCCTCCGCTTCTGAGCATAAAAGCAACAACCGATTTATTTTTGATAGTTTTGTATCCTGGGCAGTGTTGCCTCTTAGAGCATTAGGAAAGTAGCTTTCATCATTTTGTGTACCATAAACCTTAATCCACGTTTAAATAAAACGCAAATTGGGTTCTTATAGTCCCCTCCCCCTGCTTAAATCTTTTCAGTGTATTTGCATAATCCATCCATTGTCTTTCCTATTGTTTATTTCCATTAACCTGTGGGTGACACATTTTATGAATGGAATGTTACTGATCCCCAGATTACATTTAGCATTTCAGGGCTCTGAGGTCCCACTGGGTATGTTCTGAATTAGCATTAGCTGCCCATGATGTGTAAATAATTCAGCACATTTACAGAGTACAAGTAATCCTGAATCAATAAAGTACAGAAAATAACTACACAGAGGCTTAATTAATCTTTACAAAATGAGTTTTAAAAGAAAGGAATAGTTTTGTTCTGCCTTTCAAGATAAATATTTTGGGTTTTTACCACTTTAATAGCTCTCTAACAGCAAAGCAAAGTGGAAAATACTCAATTATCAAATTTGATAATTCAACACAGTTTAATATCTAAGCTGAATTAAAATCACCCTGATTCCTACCCTAGTAAATTAATTACACAGATAAATGAACTTGGATAGACGTGTCCCACATTTGTTTCTTTTCCTTCTCCATTTGAAAATGCAGGATTTCTTTTCATCAAAGTTTTATATGTATATAGTCTGAAAGGAAACTTCTTTTACAGGGTTTTTATGAACAACAGAAGCATTTTGTCATTTCCACCCCACTCCCCAAGTAAATATCTCCAGAAAAAAAGTGTATAACTTTTAGCTACTTCTTTCAGTATTTAAAAATTATATTCCTAACCTACATGCTAATTATTTCTAATTCTTGACTTTTCAGGTTTAAATATTTTTCTACTAACTTTCCACTAAGTATGGAAGTACTTAGTGGTTAATAGATTTAGAGGTACAAAGGATATACAATGAACTGTACATATTTAAAATATATAATTTGATAAGTTTTGACATATGTAAACACCTGTGAAAGCATCACTACAGTCAACTTAACATACATATTCATGACCCCCAAATGTTCTTTCCCCACCCACTGGGCCCAGGCAACCATTGATTTACTTTGTCATTTGGATTAATTTCTATTTTCTATAATTTTATGTAAGAGAAATCATAGCATGTACTTTTCTGCATCTAATTTCCCTCAATATATTTTTTATGCTATCAACAGTTTATTCCTTTTTACTGCTCAGAAGTATTGCAATACATTGTTTATCTATTCCTTGTTGATGGCCATCTGGCTTGTTTTCATATTCTGGTTATTAGGAATAATGCTGGTATGTTAAGGTCTGAGCATTCACATAAAAGTCTTTGCGTGGACATGTTTCATTTCTCTTGGGGGAATACCTACCTATAGGTGGAAAGGCTGGGTCATGTGGTAGATGTTTAAATTTTTTAAAACCTGCAAACTATCATATAAAATGGGTTGTATCCTTTTATATTCCTATCAACAAAATATGCAGAGTTCCAATTTCACATCCATGCCAACACCTTGGGTAGTACTTTTTAAATTTTAGCTATGCTAATGACGTAGTAGTACCTTACTGTGTTTTAGTCTGTATTTCCCTAAAGAGTAATGATGTTGAGCATCTTTTCATATGTCTTTTCACCATGTCTTCGGTGAAATAGCACATTTTTATTGAGTTATTTCTTACTAAGTTTTAAGAGTTATTTATATATTTTACGTAGAATATATAAATATGGGATATGTATTGTGCAAATAGTTTTTCCCATTCTGGCATGTTATCTCTTAATCTTTTAATGTCTTTGGCAGATCAAATTTTTTAAATTTATTTTTGAGAGAGAGATAGAGACAGCGTGAGCAGGGGAGGGTCAGAGAAAGAGGGAGACACAGAATCTGAAGATGGGCCTCAGGCTCTGAGTTGTCAGCACCGAGCCTGATGTGGGGCTCGAGCCCACAAACCGTGAGATCATGATCTGGGCCAAATTCAGACGCTTAACTGACTGAATCACCCAGGCGCTCCTGGAAGATAAAAAATTTTAATGTTGTTGGAAGTTCTAGGAAAAATTTTTCCATTTATGAATCATGATTTTGGTGTTTTAAGAATCCTGGCTTAGTCCAAGGACAGAGACATTTTCCATTTTCTAGATCTATCCATTTCAGGCTAACTTTTCAATCACGTATGAGGGATGAGTCCAGGTTAACATTTATTGAAAAAAGCATACTTTGCAAATTATCTTTGTATATGTTTTGAAAATCAATTGACCATATGTGTAGGATTCTACTTCTGAACTGTCCACACCACACTACCTTGAATACTGATTTCTGAGTAAACATCCTTGCCTTGCTTTAGATCTTAGGTGAAAAGCATTCAGTGTTCCACTATTAAGTATGACACTGCAGGTTTTCCATTAAAGCCTTTAACAGGTTGAACATGTGAAATTTGATAGTAATTCTTTTAATATTATGGTTTACGAATTCTATCCTCTGTGTCATTTCCACTTTTGGTTGTTTTTGTTCTCTTCATTGGTTATATTTTACCTTTTTTTTTTTCCATATGCCTAGAAAGTTTTGACTGGATGGTAGACAGTGTTATTTTACATTATTGGTGGCTCAATATTTTTATATTCCTTTATTCTTGAGCTTTGTTCTGGAATACAATGAAATTACTTAAAAACAGTTTGATTTATTTGAATTTTGATTTTAATCCTCAACAGGAGAGATAAAAACAGGGCTGTTTTTCCAACACTGAGACAAAAACCCTCTCAGTATTCTACCTGCTACTCATGACTTAGAAGCTTTCTACTCTGGGTGGTAGAAACTGGTACTCCTCTTAGCTCTGTGTTCGCTTTGGGGATTATCCTCTGTAATTCTACCACAGAGAGAAAGGATTATTTGCCTGACTTTAAATAATTTCCTTACATACTTGCTCAGATCAATACTTAGTTGGAGACTCTAAGGGGACCCTCAACAAGTAACTGTAGGTCTCTCTTCTCTTTCTTTAGAAGTCTGATCTGAAAACTCTAGCTGTCTCGTCCTTCCTGGACTCCAACCTCTGTCTCAAGTCAGGGTCCACTGGGATTCTTCTTGCTGAGCCATAGCCCGGAAATACTCTCCAAGTGCTAAGCAGAGGCAATGAAAGGGCTTATATATTTGTTTCTCATCTCTCAAGAATCATTTTTATTGTCTTATGTTTAATATGTTGAAAAGCCTTTTTTCACATATTTTAGTCTCGAAAAGTTAAAAAAAAATTTTTTTTTTACTGTTTTATTTATTTCTAGGAGAGAGAGAGACAGCTGAGCAGGGGAGGGTCAGAGAGAGAGGGAGTCACAGACCGAAAGAGGCTCCAGGCTCTGAGCTGGCAGTCAGCACAGAGCCCGACGCGGGGCTCGAACCCACGAACCACGAGATCATGACCTAAGTGAAAGTCGGATGCTTAACCGACTAAGCCACCCAGGCGCCCCTAGTCTCGAAAAGTTTTTGATAACAGGGTAAATATCATCCCATGTTAGACATAGGTAGTTTTTTAAATTTTTGACTACTTTACCCAACCCTAAATTTAATTCCTATCCTTTCTATCTTTCTAACACAGTTATACCATTTGGGGGATTAAATGCAGTATTTACATTATGTAAACGTCCTAGATAACTGAGACACAGTACGATGATATCTTATGTGTCATCATTTTGTTAATATTTAATACTTGTCTTTGTTCTTTGTTTTTTAAAAAATTTTTGTTTATTTTGAGAGACAGAGAGAGGACACATCTAAGAGTGCATGTATGCACGGTGGCGGGTGAGAGAGAGGAAGAATCACAAGAATCTGCGCTGACAGCACAGAGTCTGACGCGGGGCTAGATCTTACAACCGTGAGATCATGATGTGAGTGGAAATCAAGAGTCAGATGCTCACGTGACTGGACTACCAAGGTGGGCCAAATTTCCTCATTTTATAGACCTTATCTAATGTAATTCCATATTCCAGTATAACTAATATAATCTAATTAATAGAACTCCAAACTCGCTTCCAAATGGGTAAATTCTCTCTCAATTTACTAAAACATTTTAGTATTTTGTTAATTTAATTTACTTCAAGAATTTTTCTAACCTGCTCTTATCAGAACTGGCTGCTCTTTAAGTTCAACCATCACTTGGGATTTTCTATTAACTATCATGTAGAAGATTCCCTCCTGTTTAATGCTGATTTTCAGTTTCAGGGATCTAAACCACCCCTCTTTGTTTTCTCTTTTGTCTTGGATTTGTATTCTCCAGAAAGGGATTATGAGAAGCATTTTTTCTTTAAAGTGGGCTCCACACCCAACATGGAGCTTGAACTCATGACTCCTGAGATCAAGCACTGCATGCTCTATTGACTGAACCAGTCAGGCACCCCAAGAAGCATAACTTTTAAGGTCCTGATGTCTGAAAATATTATTCTACTACTACCGTTAAGACTGTTACCGGTATAGAATTCTAGGATGAAAATAATAGAATTTTCAAATCACTGACGCATTGTGTTCTGAATATCAGTATTGCTCCTCATACCGGAAAGAAAGTCGAAGTAAAGGAACTTTAACTTTGTTCTCTGCCTGACACATAATATGTACTCAATATGTTTGTAGAACAAATCAATGTTGAGGAGTTATTCTGATTCTGGATTCTTTGTATTTCAGGATCTTCTCTTTAATCCCCAAGATGCTGTAAGTTCGTGAAAATGTCCCTGATGAGTATCTATTCTAATCCACTATGCTGGGTGCTCAATGAGCTCTTTCACTGTGAACACTTATGTCTTTTACTTCAATAAAATGCCTTTGCATAAATATATGGTCAATTTCCTACTTTCAGCCTTACCTGTTTCCAAATTCCTATTACTTATGGTGTGTGAAACTCCTGAGCAAATCCTTAATTTTTCTTACCTTTATATTTCTATTTTCCTACCTTTATCCTGTTAGTTTTTAAAAGGTTTCATTAACTTATTTTTTTTAATAGTGTGTGTTTGTGTAGCATTTGCATATGATTTCTAAGAGTTTGTATTTGTTCCCTGAGGTTTATTCTTTTTTTTTCTTCTTTGTAACAACATCCTCCTTTTGTTTTATAGATGCTCTATCTTCTTAAACCTCTCGGAGGACATGAATAACAGGTTTTCATTGCCTAAGCCCCCTCATTAATTTTCTTTTCCCCATATAATCTTTATGTCTTCCCAATTGCTTTTTTTTTTTTGTATTTACTTATTTTAGGCTCTGTTTTCCACATTAAATACTTTCCTCAAATATCTGATGACCTTGGCTGTCTGATCATTTTCAAAAGCATGGCAGTAAAAACCTGAATGGAAGCTATATGCACCTAAGGTGGGTACACTAGACTGGGTGTTTGCTAAAGGGGAATCAGGCTGGGCTGTCCCTGTGGGAGGCTTTACCGTCCGTGCTGCAGGTCTCTTCTCTTGGGCTAGTGAGGCTCATAGCAGAAGACTTATAATACGCCTAGAAGGTTGTGGTTACCTAACAGCTTTTTCCAACTATTAACAAAGTATAGTAACTGAATTTTTTTAATAATGATGAAATGATTTCAGATCTGATCCCTGCAACAAGACAGGCATGTTGTAAGACACAACATACTGACTTCACAACATTTTATAGGACCTGATAAACATGATTAAAAAGGGGGGGGGACATATTGGCAAATTTCTGTTTTTAACCATTATGTTCTGTTGAGCTGACTATAATCAGGAGGAAAAATATTAAGATTTTTGACCTTTCACTCTACAAATGTTTCTCAGTTTAAATGGTTAATTTTTTTGATCAAGGAACTGTGCCAGGCAGTGTGGACCCTGTTCTTAGAAAACGTAAATAAAAGGATAACTAATGACTTAAAAAATAGGTGTTACAACAATGTGATAAACAACTAGTGAAAAGTAAAGATGATGCATGCTGAAAGATTTCAGGTTTTTCAGTCTTTGCTGGAATGATCGCGGAAGGCTCCACTGTGAATATAGGACAAAAGAGGCTCCTTGCCTGGTGATTCAGAGAGAGAGGACTAGTCACCAAAAGTGGGGAAAGAGGTTACTCAAGACTGAGAAATGCACAAGTGAGAGATACATTCCACACTGGACACCGAAGGGCGAAGGGACCTACCTTAACGAATGGTAGAAACTGAATGGTGGGCTTAGAAACAGACCACAGACTGAGGAACGTGGATCTTACCTTGCAGGCACTGGAGAAGAAGCTACTGATGGTTCTTGAGTAGCAGCAGAAAGACATAATAAACATCTGTAGGGGACTGGAGTGTTGACTGAGGAAAGCAAATACTTAATATTAATGAAAAGAATATATACCTGAAGTGGCTTATCTGATTTTCTAAAAGAGAAGACAGTCTTTCTTTTATCTCTTCAAATCTCTCTTTCTCTTCCATTGAAACTGTTCCAATTCCATCAGGCCTGGAAAAAAATCAAAATCAGTCATTTATATTGATAGAATGTTTATTCTCATATATTTTATATTTCTATATATATTATTTATATATATATTTTTTTGAGAGAAAGTGCAAGTGGGGGAGGGGCACAGTGAGAGGGACAGAGAAAATATGAAGCAGGCTCCGTGCCATCATGCAGAGCCCAACGTAGGGCTTGACCTCATGAACCCTGAGATCATGACCTAAGCTGAAACCAAGAGTTGGATGTTTAAACCACCTGAGCCACCCAGTGCCTGTGTGTGTGTGTGTGTGTGTGTGTTGTGTGTGTGTGTGTGTGTGTGTGTAATCTTTATATTTCCCTGAAGAACAATTAAGGACAATGTATACTGACCCACAGTATACACATTACGGGCACCTATAGTAGCTATTTATTTAAAAGAGGTATTTATAGCCATTTGCTTCATATTTTAACCTGGAATGAATACAATGGAATTATTCTGCTTTAGACAGCCTTCAAGGTAAAGGATTATAATAAATATTTTCCAGATCTACAGAAAACAATGATTAGTCCTTGAGAATGACTGTGAAAAGTGTTTTATAGTGGCACCAAACATTTGGCAAATTGAATAAACATCCCCTGGATAGAAATATTATAAAAGCGTACTGAACACAAACTAAAATAACTTAACTGCTTTCCTTCCAAATAAAAATTAAGCTAATGTGAAACTGGAGATTTAATTTTAATTGTTGAAAAACCATAGAAATTTTGAATACATGTAGTGGTTTATTGCACCATATTTTTGTTTATTTAAGTGTGTGGGCACATTTAAATTTAAGTTTATTTAAAAACAAATATTTGAATAAAGACATATAGAGAAGACAGACCATCTATGTTTCAAGATTTTTGTGCTTAGCCAAATATCCCTGTGGAATCAAGGCAAGATCTCATTAAAATTTTTAGAAGTAATAATGAAGATTCTACAGACATCTTTCACTAAGATCAGAATTAAAAGTATAAAATATTTCTAATGAACAATGGATTTAGAATTTATACTGTATCAGTTTAAGTATCTGCTTGGGTAACACCATCAAAAATTTTGAACATACGTATTTTAACTTAGTTAATGCAAAGCGAAAGACATTAATCTCATATGCAAAAAGCATATATTTCAACAAAATTCCTCTTCTGCATTTGATAATTAACACAAACCATTTCTTCCTCAAATTGCTTATTTTTCTAAAGATTAGATTTTAGTTCCTAAAGACGTATATATTTATAATTTTAACTAATTTTCAATGCTTATGTATAAAATAGGTAGAAATGATTATGAAAATGTTTCACATAACTTTTCCCAAAAAGATTTTATTTGGTTCTCCCACTCTTGTTTTACGTATGTATAAACGTGTGTGTGTGTGTGTGTGTGTGTGTGTGTGTGTGTGTATCCTTGATGCTTGCAACTACTCAATTAGGATAAAAGCAATTAATTTTAAAGTTATACCTGAATCATAATGACATAAAGACCTTTTATTCATATCAAGGCATCACTTAAGTCTAAAAATTTCTTTTCCATTATAGAGTAAATAATTTATTTCAGAAACTCACATGCTGCTAGAATTTATGCTTTGAAAATCCTATAATTATACTTCCTCCCTAAATAGGGAAACATCAATTATTTAATTTCACAGAATAATACATTCCATCAGAATGTATTTTCATTGTGAACTCCAGAAAAACTGATGGCAAATACTGGTCTTTCAAATATTTTTTAGGAAGAAGAAAAGAAAGTCTGATCTATAAATTATAAAACAATGAACTCTGAGCTAATCCTAAGGTTTTTAAATAATTTGTTATATATCATTTGTGATATAATGGGTTTTTTCTACATAGTACTTCAGAGTAAATATCCCCTGAGCAAATGATAACACAAAAACCCAGATTATCACTCAAGAATAAGAACAATAATCACAAAGTTCAAGTGGAGAGTTCTATATAAATCATCAACTTGGGAATTTGAGCTTTCAGAGGAAAACTATAGCTATGGTATGTTACTACACAGAGAGCACTAAAACTCACACCACATTGTGGGTGGGTATTTCACTAAATACATCTATGCAAACTTGATGAAAAAGGGCAAAGAACTTATATTTAGTATTGTGATGACTGATAACAGTTCTTTGTCTTTGTTCTTGGCAGATACCACACGGTCATGTTAGAATCAACCTTGCTTCAACTGTCAAAGGAGACTGTGATTCACAGGGATATGGCAAGTCATCCCGCCATTTTAATTTCACTGGGGCACCTTGCCTACCTGACACAACAGAGCCAGGGGTTTAGGTGATGAAAAGTGAGAAAGGTAAGTCAGGGGAATATCACTTGTGTCAACTTTCACTAAGATAAAGACTGTTATACACAGTGAAGGGCTGCCATTGTAATGAGCTTATTCTTTAATTAAGTACACACATCTGACAAGTTGAACACAGTAGTATTTTGGACTTGTCCTTATTTATTCACCTTTAGGGCGTATAACAGACTACGTATGATATTAGGTATATGGAGTGGGCATCTATACTTAAGTGATTGGGAACAAATAACTTAGCTGCATTTAAGGGCTCCTTCTAAAATTATTCTTCCCAGTAAATGCAAATACCTCTGTGTCATCAGATCTTCCTTGTCCTGGTCGTTATTAAAACACAGCAATTCTCAGTAACAAAATTCTTAACATGCTCCTGGTATTGTGCTAGTTGTTTTATATGCATAACATAAGATGCTCACAGCAATCCGTTCTGCCGCCTCCAAAACAGGAGGCTGCTGAGGCTCAAGGGGTGAGGTGCTTTCCCAAGGCCATACAGCTTATAAGTGCGGGAGCCTGGACTTGAACCTAGGTCTCTTGCATTCCAAATCCAGGGCTTTTAGTGCCCACATCTTATTCTCTTTCCTCGATGTTTTCACAGAAAATAATAAAGAGGAAAAAAAGGATCTGTGTTAAAAAATAGAAACTATATCTGAGAAGTAATGTGGAATATTTCAAACATACTCACTTACGTCAGACATTTTCTATATTACTTACATAAGGCAGCGAGCATAAAAATTAATAAAATTTGAAATACCTACAGGGCGCTTGGGTGGCTGACTTAAGCACCTGACTCTTGATTTCGGCTCAGGTCATGATCTCACAGTTGGTCAGTTCATGAAATCAAGCCCCAGGTGGGGCTTCATGCACTTGGGATTCTCTCTCTCTGCCCCTCCCCTGTTCAAGTACAGTCTCTCTAAAAATAAATAAACTTAAAAAAATAGCTGTCACTGAATTAGTAACTCTATTAACAAAAAGTCAACAAAGTCAGTTCTAAAATTTGTACTTGCAGAAAGCAGCTTTAAGAAAAACTTAAAACCAGTTATATTTTATGAACATTCATCTAGTAGACCCAAGGTAATAGAAATTTAAAATAATAGCTTTACAAACTTAGCTTGTAAATTAGTTTCTGTCAGTTATTCTTTTAAAACACATCCTGGTATGATTGCAGCCTCCTTGGTCTCCCTCTTCTGGTCTTTTCTATGTCAGAGTCCTGGCAACACACTATGAGCCTTTTCCAAGTATGAGTCATACCCTGTCATGCTAACAAGTCATTGCAGAAGCCAAAACCCTTATAATGCTCTGCAAGACCTGTTAGGATCCCCTCTCCTCACGCTTACACTCTGATCTTCTCTATCCCTCACAGCAGATCCCTACCCTGGAGATGGCCTCCTAGCTAGCCCTCAAACACAGAACACATGCTCTGCCTCAGGGCCTTTGCATATGCTGCTCCCACTGCCTGGGAGGTCTTTTCTAGTCTTGCAAGGCTTGCGCACTCCCTTCTCATCTCAACTGACAGAACTCAGAGTCAGCGAAGGTATCTGGAACCACCTGAGGTGAAGGTGTCATCTCCCCTTCCCACAGGTCTCTTCTCCTGTAATATGATTGGTTCTGCTCACTGTGCACACCGCCATCACCCACACATGATACACTTATTTGTTCTTATTATCTGCCTCCTTTGTGCTGCAACCCTGCTACCTAGAGCGGGAGCTGGCAGATCGATGTTCAATACACAAGTGCTAAAGACATGAATAAGTGATACACAGAATATAAAAATACCAGCTATAGATTATAAAATTTCATGAATGAGTGATATCAAAAATACTACTGCTTATTAGATTATTTTATACATTAGTATTATAGATTATATAATGAGTATATTTATTATATGTATTAGACTCTATATTAGTATTAGATTATTTGGACTGTTTTAAATCCTGCAACAGTGGGTAAAACAGGAAATTTTTTGACGAACAAACAGAACAGTAATTAACTATAGATAAATATTCTGGGTAAAAGGATCTCTAAAAAAAACCTAGTTGTATTTACAACTAGCAGAACATTTTTAGTATTCACCTGTTATTTTAATTAGTGAAATCATTTGCTATAAATTTCAAGAACAGAATCCCCTTCCCCCAAGAAGACAATAAAAAGTAAAATAAATAATGCCTCTTTGACACTGATGAAAAGAGGATGTTAAAATATGGTTATTGAAACTTCTAAAACAAAAGGCCAATTTTCTGATTCGAATGTTAACTGGGGCTTAATTCTATGAGTGATAATTAAATATTAAAGCCATTCCAGTGACACAAAAGGATGTTCTCATGTATCAAGATTTAAATTTTTCCTTCTATTTCCTGGGGCCTGCAGTTAATGAAGTCACATGGTTTTAAGAACACTGCTCCATGAAAGTTTAAGATATGAACAAATTATAAAATACAGTTTTATAGTAGATGCACTTCCTTTAATTACAGACACAAGCAAGTTATGACATAGAGCTTCCCTCTGGCATTATGTAATAAGCAAATGAACACCAAGTGGTTGGGTCTATGTTAATTATACTTGACAGAATTCTTTAAAATAAAGAATTGATACAATGGAATCTTCTGCCTCTGATGCTAAAGAGCCTCCCCTTACATTTGCTTTGGTGTTGCAGTGTGCTCTCAGAGAAAGG